AAACCCCAAACCCCTAAAACCCCAAGGCAGGTCCGAGAGTCGTCGGCTCCCCGGCTTCCAGCACGACGTCGCCGTCCGCGCAAAAGGAGTGTACCTGGTGGCCGCAGCTTTTGTTTAGGGTTTAGGGTTTTGGGGTTTTAGGGTTTAGGGCTTTAGGGTTTTAGGGTTCAGGGTTTAGGGTTTTAGGCTTTAGGGTTTAAGGGTTAAGGGTTTAGGGTTTAGGGTTTAGGGTTTTGGGGTTTTGAGTTTGTAGGTCTTGGTGCTGCGGGAGGGGCTCCGAACAGCAGTATCGAAGCTTCGGCGACAGTTGAAGCCGAAGGTCCTGCGTGCCTATTTCTTCTTCAGGGAAGTACCCTAAACCCTAAACCCTTTTTGAAACTCCTGAACCCTAAACCCTAAACCCTAGGTTGAACAAGCAACAGCATACATTTCTTGTATCGGCATAAGAACTGTTTGAACTTAACTGTCGCCATGAAGCCTGCGACTCTGGACACTCCTCCGAGCCTCACCCTTCGGTACTTGGATGATCAGAGGACTTTCTAAGGAATGCTAGCCTTAATCAGTGAGGTACCTATAGTTACATCTGTTTATAACCCTAAATAAGGTACTTATTGTAACCTAAATAAGGTACTTATTATGGCATTACCTACTAAGGCCTATGATCCTCTGATCTACTTATCCTCTGTGAACCTGCAATTTCTGTGCTTCAGCAATTCAGGGATCCAAGCATGGACCGTCCATGTAGGATCCCCGACTACTTTCTGGGCTCCGTTCTACAGAATGTAATTTGAGGTTTAGGGTTTAGATGAATTTAGGGTTTAGGGTTGATTACCAAAATAAGGAACCAATGGTATGTAGTCTCGATCCTCCACCCATAAAGCGCTAGAAAGCCCTGTAACACCCCAGCTGTACACCACAGAATTCCTGAACCCGAAAACCCGGAAGCGTTGTAGAACACTTATAAAACCCTATATCAGAACCCTTAAAGAACCCCTACACCCGTATAGCCGGGAGCACCAGCGTGGACTTTCCCACGCCAACATCGCCCAGCGTCATCAGCTTGAGGTTGATCACGTCCTTTCGGGTTCATGGTTTTTGTGGCTCAGGGTTTTGGGTTTGGGATTCAGAGTTTGGGGTTTCCGAGAGAATTTCTAAAGCTGTTAAGGCTTTCAGATTGTTAGGGCTTAGGGTTTCTTGAGATTCGCACTCGGACAAGCCAGGCAAGGTCTGCAGACTCTGTCGGACACCAACAACAACAAGGAAGCCCTTCAAGAGTATGCAAGATGCGCAACAACAAGTGCACAACCATGGGTTTACCCCAATGACGCCAAGCACACGATTGTTGAGTCGTTTGAAAATTACACTCTCAAAACTCGGACAAGCCAGGCGAGGGTTCGTTTGAAATTTGGGGTTTTGCTTCAAGCTCGCCCTCCCGCCAGCAATTTCCGCAAGCCCGGCCCCAAATGCATCTTCCTGTTGTGTTGTCCAGGCTGTATTGACGCCACAGTAAACTGAGGATGGGAGCTTTGTGACGAAACATCCCGCGCCCGCTCCGCCAATGCATCAACCCAAATCCTAGCCACCTAAAACCACTTTTTCTCTCTCCCTGAGTCCTAAACCTAGATAACCTAGTAAACCGACGACTAGAACTCTTACCGAAGCCGTTTGGGCCAAAAACGCTTCAAACAGGAGCACCAATGCCTGAAACTTTCAGCACTCGGGTCTCGGCATTCAGAGGCTTTTGGTCTGGGGCCTAAGGGCTTGGGGTTTAGACCGAAAGGACTGATAAGGGCCATGGAGTACTCCCTACAGAACCACATGACCCTCCCATCATCCCTCGTTCAGGGAGCCTGGGACTTATCAAGCAGGTGATACATGCAGGTGTAAGTAGAGCCCTACTTACCCCTTGGGGTACTCATAACGCGGCCTATAACAAACCTACTCAGTCACCTGGCAAGCAGGTCTGACTGTACTTCAGTCGCGCCTTTGGACGTGGCTGCACTTTGCGGCGCTGGATCGGATCGAAATCCGCCATGGATTCGGCGGAGGGCTGGGGTTCTGGAGTTGTAGTACCGCACACAGATCCATTGTATGATGCAGTGGTGATGGCTATGGAATAAGTATGTTCTTGCAACTGCATGCCTTGCTCGCCCTCAAATATTCTTGCGTCCCGACAGCATTGTAAAGCTCGTCAGGGCTCGTGCTATGCTGAATGATCGCATCCGGAAGCAAGCGGACGAAGCCCGAAAGACAAGAAATGTTTGAGGAATGAAAAAAGCTTATCAACTCCATTCTTGAGAACTTGAAAAGTCATACGACCCAAGTCGAGCGCGGGCGCTACACTCCAGATCCTTACCCTGGCATGCAAAGCTTGAGCCGCACGGCCGTCGGGCCTTGGTGGGCAAGCTACCCTGCACACGAAATAGTGGAGACTTGTAGTTTTAATCCAGATAGTGATAGAAGCAACAAGTCTACACCATATCGAGAAACTGGTAGACGGACGATGGATCGGTCGAGCGGCTAATGCGCTAACCTATGTACATCTTGCTTTCGGGTGGAAGAACAGGGGAGCCAGCAGAACTGCAATTAAGTAGAACCATCGTACCTTTAAAATTGTCAGCCACAGAGGCTCCGTTTTATTGAACCAAAAACCGACAAGAGTTCAAGATTCCCTGTCAAGGCTAGGACTCCTCCTACCACTGTGAGCATGATCACGAGAACTCGCAGTAAGAGTGCATTGCATCACTCTTGAGACACTGAAACCTTGAAAACCTGAACCAGAAGACTTGGAAACTCCAGGTGACCGTCCTGAAATGCAAAGCCAGTTCTGCCGCAAACTCGCCCATGAGCTCCTGAGGTCCGACATATGTGATGTAGAACACGCAAGTTTTCCCGAGAACATGCAAGTAAAGTTCAGGGTATAGGGTGCTTGCTAGTCTAGCTGTTGAAGTTTGAAGGCTACGGCTAGTTTAGACTAGAATATCGCAGCATATAGGTGTCTTGTAAGCAGAGGCTCCGTTTTGGGCGGCTTAACATATGAAACTATGCTATCCCGGCGTCCAAAAACTAGGATCCACGACGTTGGGAACATGTACGAAGATCCGATCGTACTTCTAGGCTGCTTTCAGGCAATGCCCTTCAATTTAGGACCCCTTGGCCCAAAAAATGCAAAAAGGCTTAAGCAAGACCCGCAGTTTGGGGACCACATGCACGGAGGGCCGATGGCGAAAGCCCTGTTTCGTAATGCATTCTGGAATTTAAGATCCCAGTGCATAGGATCCTCATCCTCGTGCACAAAGCACCAAACCCAATCGCTCAAGCCTGAACGCTAAAACCCCTGATCCAAAAACACCCTCAACCCTAAACCACCAAATTGAAAACAAAGCTGAAGCCGACATGCCTCTACCCCCTTGAAATTAAGGAATATACCTTACCTTAGTTAAAGATCTATTCCCGAATTAAGGGATCTTGGTGTCTTTGGGAATTTGCTGTGTGAGCCAGCAGTCCGACTCCGAGATGATCTTGGTGTGCTTCTCTACCTGAGCTCAGCATCCTAATATAGGGGCTTCAAAAACTAAAGTGGGGTTTTGGGGTATACTATACTATGTATATAATTATGATCAGGAGTTCAAAAAAATAGTATAATAAGGAACCCCAAAATAGTATAGGTAACTATCGAGGCCCCTACACTATCGGGCTTTCGGCTTGAGACGGTTCAGGGTTTAGGGTACAGAGAAGCCTGCAAAAGGAGTTTTGAGGGCTTGAGGCTTATGTGAGGGTTTAGTCATAGGGAATCTTAAGGGGGTAAGACGGGGGAGGGGACCATACTTCCTTAAAAAATGGGCCTCATGAGGTCCTTATTACGGATATCCCCCTACCCCCCCTTCCCGCCTACCCACGAAGGGTCCTTGGGGTTTAGGCTTTTGAGGGCTTTTGAGGGTAAGATTTCAGCGTCGGGTCTCGGCCTTGAGATTGCCGAGGTGCCTTTTTCGCCAAGGTCCGGGGCTCGAGGCTTTGACCCACAATTGTAGTATCTGGATTAAGGAAGTTTTTTGGCCTCACACCTAGCTAGGACGAGCCCGCATTGCAGTGTACAGTCGAAAGCACAGTAGACAAAGGGTTAAGGGTTTAGGGTTTTGGGTCTAGGGCTTTGGTATTAGAGCTCGTCTTGTTGTCGTTCTCTGATACCCGTCTCCCTCTTGAAGACCCAACCACCTCTCAGCATCACTTTCGCCACGAATTTCAGCGTTGTTGCTTTTGTCGCTGCGTTTTTGCTGTATAACCCGGCTGCTCAGATTGCTGCTGGTCTTTTCGATCGACTTTTCGACAGTAGGTCTCTAAGTCAGGACGTCCACAGAAGGCGAAGCATTAAAACTTTAGAACACGATGTCTTTTTCCAACTCGTAGCTGCTGTTCTGTTTTTGGTACTAGCCACCATACACTGCAGACCCAGTGCGGTACTACCTCTGCAACTACCGGGTCGGGGATGGGTGGTCGTCCGAGTCTTTCAGAGGGCTTTGGACGTTGGAGGTCGCTTCTGGTTAATGGCCCCGGCGACAGTTTAAAGCGAAGAAGCCCCTTCTCCGGCAACTGCACTATAAATCGAACACCCTGCGTAGATACAACACCTGTCAAGCATGTTCTTTGCAAAGCCCCAAAGCCCCCAACCCCCGAACCCAGAACCCCTAAACTCAAAACCCTAAAACCCTAAACCGTAGCGCAGGCAAAGCACATCCAGCTTCAGCATCGATGCCGGGTTTGGCGCCGTCAGCGTCCCCACATATTCCCAGAAGGTCCTCGGTTAGAGCTTCCTGATCCAAGATCTCCGAAACGGTTTGGGGTTTTGGGGTTTTGGTTTTTTTTTCAGGGGTTTAGGGATTGGGGTTTGGGGGTCTAGGGGTTTAGACGTGGCGGCTCAAGAGGGTTGCCAGCAGGACGCAAGGCTCGCAGAAGAAAGCTCAGCTGCAACAAGGCTCATTGCTTAAGCACATCCTGTTATTTAATTTCGAGATGTATAGCAAACCGGCTGAGTGATATTCCAGAGCCAGAAACTCTGGGCGCAAGAGCCGTAGGAGCTAAAGATGCTGGCAGAATCTCAGGTTCAGAAGAGCAGCCATAAGGCAGCTTCCGCAATGATGATCTCGTTGTGCGCCCCGACCTGGGCAGATACCCGGCAAGCCAACTGTGTGTACAAGACTGCTGTACACTACGATGTAGTGAACAGTGGTCTTTGCCTGTGCCAAAAACTATGGGAGTGCGAGAGAGGCAGAAAGGGAGACCTGAGAAAAAGATGCAACAGAAAACTCACAATGCATACGCATGCATGCATGCATGGCTGGCTGGCTGGCTGGCGCGGCATGGATGGATGGATGGATGGATGGATGGATGGATGGATGGATGGATGGATGGATGGATGGATGGATGGATGGATGGATGGATGGATGGACAGACGGGTGCATGTGGGTACAGTGCGTGTGTGTGTGTGTGTGAAATATATGTATCCGACGTGTATGTAGGTTTTCTGCCTGTGCCAATTTGCATAAGTATGCATAGGTAAATGTGCACATACATGCATACAGACACACATGCAGACATACATACATACATACATACATGCATGCATACAACCATGCATGCTTTCATGAGCACATACATGAAGACAACCAGGTATACAGCCACCGGGCAAGCAAATAGACACGCATTCATACAAGTGCTTCATGAAGTGATTTCAACTGCTGTTGGAATAAAAAAAATACCGAGTGTCGGAAGTGAAATGGCAATGCTCAACAATATCCGAGAAGGACTACAAGAACAGACCGGGAAGAATGTCAACATCTTTTAGGCTTGTTGGAGCTCCTGATTGGATAGTGAAGATAAAATCACGCTTGCCTTGCAAACAAACGAAGCGGTGGCGAACATCACAAGCCCAAAACTTGAGCTTGCACTTCTGAAGATAGGAACCCGCCAAACGAACTTTGCAAGAATCCCCACGGCTGATTCACAGAAGCACTCAAGTAGGAGTGCCCACCGAGGCCCCCTGCTCGCAGTTTTCGCTTCACCTTCGAGGTCTTGCGGTTTTGCTGGTACTCCAGGGTTCCTGAGGCACGAGTTTTGGGTTTAGGGTTTAGGGTTTAGGGTTCCTGAGGCACGAGACCCAAAGCTGAAGCCAGATGTTGAGTTCTGTGGGTACTGTAGGGTTTCTGGGTATAAGGCTTTGGGCGACGGTCAAGTCTACCCAGTTTCGGGCTTCGGGGATCTTACGTTGAAGGCCTCAGGGGCCTTGTGGGAATTCCTAGATACTTCTGGTCATGGGGTGTTTTGTCGGAAGGTCCACACTGAAATTTGATTAAACCCTGAACCCTGAAACCTTACCCTCTATAAGCCTCAGGACCGGAGTAGTTGTTGTTGCTCCGCTCCAATACTGAATCGCAGCCGCTGCTGCTGGACACGAATCACTGTCTGCCTGTCCTACCATGGACCCCGGGGAAGCGGACGCCCTCAACCCTAGACTCTTTTCAGCACGGACTGAGGTGCCGGCCAGCGCCTACGCAACCGTCACCCCCTCTTAAGGCAAGAGCGATCCTAAACCCAAAACCAATTGACTGTGGGTTTTCAGATCCCAGGCCCAAGTTTGCATCGTTTCACTCCTCCGGATCTACAGGTTTATCCCTGTACCCTCAGGGCGAATCCGAAAGAGACTTCGGCTTCAAAGAAAAGACGTGGGGTCACAAATCGAGAAGAGTACCAAAGGTTTAGGGTTTAGATGGGTACTTCTCTAATTTCGAGTCCCTTTTAGGGTCCTTTTTATACGGGTGCCGTACTGTCCTAAAAAAGTTCCTCATTTAGAGAAGTGCCCAGATGTGTTTAGCTTTTGGGTTTTCGGGTTTTCGTTCACGGATTAGGGTTCCTGGCTGTAGTCTCGGGTTTCAGGGCTTTAACAGAAAAAGCCCATGTGCACGGCGCCTCTTAAAGCCAGAAATCCCGATCCAATCCCCAAACTCGAAACATTCGACCGTGTTCCCGCAACTTTCTTGG